CCCCCCCCCGCCCAGGGACATCCTATGGTCTACTCTCAGGCTTGTGTGGAAGCTGGCACGAGGCAATCAGGGAGAGGGTTGGATTATTAAAAAATCATGTATCCGGGGAGCACAAATATGAATTAATTAAAAAATTGTTTTGGAGAGGTCCTTGCCCCCGCCCCAGAAAGGAAGGATCTTGTGGACGTCACTGCACCCAATACGGCTGCGGCGTCTCAGAACACGGCCTCCTATTAAAAGTCAATACATTTACGCAGAGTTCCAGAACCAGCGCCGAGAGAGCCCTGAATCGGGAGGAGGGGCGGCCCCTGGTCCGTAGGTGCCCTGTCCAGCTGGCCGCCCTCCTCCCTCTTCGGGACTCTCTCGGTGCTGGACCTAGAACTCTGCGTAAATGTATTGACTTTTAATAGGAGGCCGTGTTCTGAGACGCCGCAGCCGTATTGGGTGCAGTGACTTCCGCTAGAACCGTGGTTCTCAACCTTGGCTGCACGTTAGAATCACCTGAAAATCTTTTTAAAATCCTGATTTCTGGGCCTCATAAATCAGGATATTTAAAGATTCCCAAGTGATTCTGATGTGCAGCCAAGGCTGAGAACCACTGAGCTAGAAGTAGGAAGTTCTCATTCACTCAAAGTGCAAGTGCCAAGGGCTTTCAGTCTTTTCTCTGGTGGAGCCACAGAGTAAAGCAGCTGCCAGTCCTCTGCACTTCCTGCCAGAGCCGCTCACTCTCCCTCCAGATAGAACCCTGCGGGGATAACGCTGTCACTGGTCACAGCTGGAAATAGACTCTGAACATCTCTCTCTGTGTCTGTGTGTGTGTACATATATATATATACACAAAATTGCCTTCCAGTGATTTTCTGAGTAAACTGAAGGCCTGTGACATATATTTGCTTTCAGAGAGGAAGGGGGAGGGAGAGAGGTGGAAACATCAGTGATGATAGAGAATCATGGATCGCCTGCCTCCTGCACGCCTCCTACTGGAGATGGAGCCAGCAACCCCCGCCTGTGTCCTTGACCGGAATCGAACCTGGGACTCTTCAGTCTGCAGGCCGAAGCTCTATCCCAGTGGTTCTCAATCTTCCTAATGCCGCAACCCTTTAATACAATTCCTCATGTTGTGGTGACCCCCAACCATAAAATTATTTTCGTTGCTACTTCATAACTGTAATTTTGCTACTGTTATGAATCGTAAATATCTGATATGCAGGATGTATTTTCATTGTAACAAATAGAACATAATTAAAGCATAGTGATTAATCACAAAAACAATATGTAATTATATATATACTAGAGGCCCGGGCACAAAAATTTGTGCACTCAGGGGGGAGAGGGGGCCCCTCGGCCCGGCCTGTGCCCTCTCGCAGTCTGGGACCCCTCCGGAGATAATGACCAGCTGGCTTAGGCCTGCTCCCAGGTGGCAGAGGGCAGGCCCAATCCCTAGGTGCAGCCCCTGGTCGGGCTCAGAGCAGGGCTGATTGGGGAGTTGGGGCGCCACCCCCTGTCACACACAGAGCAGGGCCGATCAGGGGGTTGAGGAGCTCCCCCCTGTCACTCACAGAGTAGGGCCAATAGGGGAGTTGGGGCACTGCCCCCTGTCACACACAGAGCAGGGCGAATCAGGGGGTTGGGGCGCCACCCTCTATTACCCACAGAGCAGGGCCGATCAGGGGGTTGGGGCGCCGCCACTGTCACAC